AAACTATGGCTAGAAAGGCCGTACCAAGTAATTCACTGCACCACACAAAGTAAAAAGAAAAACAGCAACAACACAACAAACCAGATTGCATAATTATCTTTGCATTTCACAAGAAATCATGCTGCTTCTTCCAGGGAACAAATCTTCTGTGCACTAATTTCTTTTTAGGAAGTTATCATCTGAATCCTTTTAAGTATATTGCTTCTTTGGGGAACTATGTAATGAAATAAGGAATATTTTCAATGACAGTTTTGATCTTCATGTGGCAGATTCTTACATCTATCCTAGCTTTAAAAAAACAAACAAACAGGTGATCTCACTAAAAACTAGGCATTCGTTGGATAAACTAAAACACAATCTGGGAGGAAAAAGCTTAGTTCTGAGGTTGGAGACCATGTGTCCAAGAGCATGGAGAAGGCCTGAGCACTGTCCTTCTTTAAAGCAGGGCTTCAAACCAGTTCGACTCCCTGCTGAGAATTTGCATTTCCATCCCAGATATACTGAATCAAAATCTACATTTTAGAAAGATCCACCAAGTGATTCTTATAGATTCCTAGGTGACTCAGAGACTTGCCTACTTTTGTGATAAAGTGTAATTCAAAGAATGGTATTATTGTTTTCTTCTCTTGCTTCTGAAATATTTCTTGAGTTCTGTGTAGATATGTTGCCCTCGAGTTGCACTGGAAAACTATACCAGAAGGCTTATTTGTTTACAGTACTTTATTTTAGCTTGCCGTACTTTGCAAATATATTAGGAAATCACTAAACATTTCCACCTTACCAGATTATTTTTTTCACCTTACTTGATTTTATAATTCTGTATCCTACTGCCATCAAGTCAATTCCAACTCATAGTGACCCTATAGGACAGGGCACAACTGCCCTGTAGGGTTTCCAAGGCTGTAAATCTTTATGGAAGCAGACTGCCACATTTTTGTCCCTAAGAGTGGCTGGTGGGTTAGCAGCCGAGTGCTTAACCACTGCACAACCAGGGCTCCTATAGTTCTGTACAGAGGAGTAAAAGTGTGAGGGGGCCTATGTTTCTAGATGTCTGACAGAACTTGCATTAGCTTGTTGAGTATAAAATACCTTCCTCAAAACTCAGGTCAAAATGCTGTTAAAATAATCATAAAAAAAGACTATGTTTACTGGTCTAATAGAGTCTAGTGAGACCCCCGAGACTATGGCCTCTAGTCAGGTCTACCATTGAACTCACTCCCATGCCTTCTAGCCAAACAATAGACAGGCATATAGGGTCAACATTCACATGAGGTAGATACATTCCTTAGAGCGATCAGTCTCAGTTGTGGGAGAATAGAAGGGCAGTGTTTGCACAGGGAGATAATTCAGGAGGCAGGAATGCATAGGAAAGAAGGACACAGGGAGGAAGTGAGATGAGAGCTGTTACATTGTGGAAAATTACAGTGTCATGAAACAAAATGTGTGTGAACTGCTGTATGGAAAATGAATTTGCTCTGTAAACTTTCACCCAAATCACAATAAAAAATTTAAAAAAAAAAGAGAGAAGGGAAAAAAAGAAAGGATAAAAAATAATAAAGGAAAATAAATATTTTTAGATACATATGCAATCTCCTACCGCTCAGATATACCTTCACCCAATTTTGTAACCATTACCTAAAGTCAACCAATCACTAAATTTTTATTGAAGTTCCTTGAAACTCCAAATTGAAACTCCCTGAAGTGTCTCCTTGGATCACTTAGCTTGGAATCCTCTGGACCTTGTGATTGCCAATTTGCAAACTGCATTGTCTCTCAATAAATAAAAGCACTTTACTTTTAATTTCAAAAGGAAAAAAAAAAAAGTTACCGGAAAAAGAAAACAAAATCAACTCTCTAATAACAAAATATTATGCAATCTACTTAGAATTAAAGTTTTTTGTTTTTTATTTCAAAGTAGTTTTTAATTTCTGTACTCATAGATTCTTTATGCCAAGAATAAAAGCAGGGAAAAGCATATTTACCTCATATGCTTATATGGCCAGATACCTCATTCAGTGTATATAATTGTGGACAATGCTATTTTTTGTGGGTTTTGCTCTCTAAGCAGAAATACAATTAGTTTTTAAATTGTGTTCATCAGCTGTTTAACAATAGAATTTTTATCTGGTAGTCTAATGACTACTTCCAATTTTCCATGTTCCAATTATTAATGGATGTTTGTAGCTGTTCCCATTTTGAGTTGTGCCCCATCAGCAAATGGAGGTCCCAAAAACTCCACCTACATCATTAAAATCGACTGTACTCTGAGGAGGCAGCTCTTCCCTAGTTGTATTTTGAATGCCTTCTGACCTGAGGGGCTCATCTTCCACACAATGTTTCAGGGCTAATCGTAAAGTTTTCCAGTAATATATCAGTGTTTCACTGCTTTTAATAAGGTTTTCACTGGCCAATTGTTTGAGAAGTCTGTCTTAGTCTGGAAGCTCTGCTGAAACCTGGCCACCATGGGTGACCCTGCTGGTATTTAAAATACCAATGGCATAGCCTCCAGCCTTACAGCAATATGCAAGCCACCACAGTACCACAAATTGAAGACAAGTGGTGGAGGGAACCAAGACTATATATATGTATGTGTGTGTGTGTGTGTGTGTGTGTATATATATATATAAAATACATATTGTATCATATAATGCTGTTGTTAGGTGCCATTGAGTTGGCTCTGACTCACAGTGACACTGCCTGGTTGTGCACAACCTTGCTATATCTGAGCCCATCTTTGCAGCCACTGTGTCAGTCTGTCTCGCTGATGCCTCACTTTACCAAGCATGATATTGTTCTCCATGGAATAGTCCCTTCTGACAACATGACTAAAGTGAGATGAAGTCTGGCCATTCTTACTTCCAAGGAGCTTTCTGACTGCACTTCTTCGAGGACAGATCTGTTAGTTCTTCTGGCAGTCCATAGTACTTTCAGTATTCTTTGCCAACACCACAACTCAAAAGCATCAACTCGTCTTCCTTATTCATTCTGTCCAGCTTTCACATGCATATGAGGTGATTGAAAATACGATGGCTTAGGTTAGGCCCACCTTAGTCTTCAAAGAGACCTCTTTGCTCTTTAGCATTTTAAAGAGGTCTTTTGCAGCAGATTTCCCCAATACAATACGACATCTGATTTTTTGACTGCTGTTTCCATTGGTGTTGATTGTGGATCCAAGTAAAATGAAATCTTTGACAACTTCTCCATTTATACATTATATAACATATAATACATATTACATGATATACGTATGTTACATATTATATTATACTTATATACCATTGATTTACTGATTTCTGTGCTTTAATTTTATATCTTGCTACCAGTACCTAGTTGCCATCTAGTCAGTTCCAGCCCCATGTTTGTCAAAGTAGAACTGTGCTCCTTAGAGTTTTCATTGGCTCACTTTTCAGAACATATTGCCTGGGTTTTCTTCTGTGGCACCTCTGGGTGAACCTTCAGCCTCAGTTAGCAGCCAAAGGTGTTAACTTTTGCACCACCACCTGTAGACTTCCAATGAAGGATACAGAGATAAATAAGACACAAACCCTACCTGAGTGGTGCTAACCACATACCTGCAGAAATCACTCCCGTGCTTTCTTTGGCCTCAAAACAACCCTGAATGATAGGCACTATTTTTATTCCTGTTTTTACAACCAAGGAAACAGGCTCAGAAAGGATAATTTGACCAAGGTCACACAATACATATGCTTAAGAGTTGACCTTGAGAAATATATATCATCCCAAGGTTCACTGTCTTAATGATTTCTGTATATAAGCATATCTATGAAGTTTCCATGAGTTGGAATCAACTCAACAGCAACTGGTACTAGCACTGTTTGCATCATGAACAGCCTGCTAAGCACTTTCATCTCAGTCAGCATTATGAATCCAGCCTGCGTATGTGGTAACCAGACGTCACAGAAGTTAAGAAAGCTGGCCAAGCAAGTTATGGGCAGAGCCTGGCTCATAGTTCCTCAGGGCCATAGGTGAAGGACTGTTGGGTACAGTGAGGGCTCAGAGGGCAGATGTCTTCTGACAGAGGGAGTACCAAGGTAAAAAGTTATGCTATTCCAAAGCAGTATCTGGCACAAACAATCCACTTACTAAAAAGTCAGTCCCCGAGTAGCGACTGGGATCTTAAAAGCTTGCAGGCAGCCATCTAGATGCAATGATGGATCTCTCCTTGTCCAGAGCAAAGAAGAATGAAGAAAACCAAAGATTCATGGAAACAATTAGTCCAAGCAGCTGGTCCACCATGTGATCCTCAGCCTATATGACTACGAGACCAGAAGAACTAGATGGTGCCTGGCGACTACTGTCAACCACTCGGGGGGATCTATGTAGGAGATCCTGGATAGATTGGGAGAACAATGTGGAATAAAACTCAAAATCATTTAAAAAAAAGGGGGGGGGGACCAGGTTTGCTGGTCTGATAGAACCATTGAGACTATGGCCCCTAGCTGCCCTTCAGTTCTGGAATTGAACCCACTCATGTGGCTTCCAGCCAAGCAAAAGACAGGTATATGAGCTGAACACTAGGTAGATATACTCCTTGGAGCGATCAATCATGGGAGAATAGAAGGGATGTGTATGCACAGGGACATAGCTCAGGGGGCAGGAGTACATGGAGGGAAGGACACAGGGAAGCGGTAACTATGGGGAGGAAGTGGGAGGGGAGCTGTTGTGGTAAATTATAGTCAATGTCATGAGACAAAGTGTATGTGAACTGCTGTATGGAAAGTGAATTTGCTCTATAAACTTTCACTCAAATCACAATTAGAAAAAAAAGCCAATCCCACTCCCAGCCCCCTTGACTCATGTTACTGATGCCCAGACCTCACCCCAGACCAGTTCAAGCAGAATCTTCCAAAGTGGGGCCCTGGCAGGAATTTTAATGAGTTGTCAGTGTTGAGGATCACTGTTAGCCTAGACATTCACCTTGACTTCCTTGGTTGCATGTGAAAACCATATTCATGCTCACCTGTGTTTTCTTATTCCAGATGAAGGGTGAAGCTGGAAGTGTGCTACACAATGAGAAATCGAAGCAGGTAAACACCAGCACCCTACTCACAAACTGCCGATAAGGTAGTCAGTGGCTCTCTCCATATCTGCAGTTGCCTGATGTCTTCCCCCAAGGTTTCTGGATGGTTGACACAGTGCCATTTCAATAGCTGAGTGGAGACCACTGGACTCCAAACTTCTTTATAGGCAAAGCTCTTTTGCTTCCATGACAAAGTGCATGTGCACTCTTCCTGCTGCAGTCCTTAGAATACCCTCATGCCCTAGACCTCCAGAACCACCCCTTTCAATAACTGGTCCAGGGACAACAGAGGCCCACTGAGGCCTGGGAACCAGCTCATGAATCCAGTTAACTTCTGTCCTGTACATTCCTGTGTTTCAGAGGAGATCTTTGCCCTACAATATTCCTTTCAACTGGGTGCTGGGGAGATTAGAAACTACCATCATTCCTGGAAAAATATCTAATCCTGTATACGCAGTTGAAATTTTTAATTTGACTTAAGTTTGGTATAATTAAGAAGATAGAAAATAACCCAAAAGATTAAGTAGGAACTGTAGGGGACAGTGAGTTTATGTTACTAGCGGGGGAACAACTCAGAAAAGGAGGGTGAGAAATGGTTGCACCACAACTCAAACAATGTAATCAATGTCACTGAATTATATATGTAGAAACTGTTGAATTGGTGTATATTTTACTGTACTCAACAACAACAACAAAATAAATAATTTAAAAAAGATACAAATTTAAATTCAGACGAGGGAGAATTCCCAGTGAATCTGGAAAAATTCCTGAAAAGGATCCTCAAAATCCAAAAAAAGAGAAAATACAAAAGCTTCAGGTAACGAGTCTTGATGAACTTGCACTTGAGGTGACCTTTGACCTATGTTAAAAAAAAAAAAAATTCATGTTCTCTGATGAGTATGGCCAATCTGTAAAACCAAACTCACTGCCATCAAGTTGATTCCAACTCGTAGCAACCCCCACTGGATTTCCAAGGCTATAAATCTTTATAGAAGCAGACTGCCTCATCTTTCTTCCACCGAGTGGCTGCTAGGTTCAAAGCACCAAGTTTGAATCACTGACCTTTTGGTTAGCAGCCACCAGAGCCCGCAAAGAGAAGAGAGAGGGAGGGAGAGGAAGACAGCGAAACTTGGAGCTCAAGATCCTGATGACCACTAGCCCTTCAAAAGCTTGTCACTGGCCATGGAAAATGACTGGCTTTTTGGTCTTTTGATAAAAAATGGGACAGGGTAATGAGAAGAAATGAGTACAGATACTGGTTGTTCACAGTGGGGCGGGCAATCAAAACACAGCTTTGCTCCATCACATCTCAAAAGTCTGGGTTAAAACACAGCATCCTATTAGATCACTTCTCCCAGGACAGCCCCCTGGCCCACTGTACATGGCCCTGTGAGCTAACTGCAAGTCAGAACATGTGTGCATTCACTCTCCTTCAAGGGCAAGAGGGTGGTAGGCATGGCAAAATAAGACCTGGCTCAATTCAGTAAAGCCTCAATGACTGGGACAGCATTTCCTCTTCCAGGATTTTGCAGATCCTTTGATGAAAGCTGTTTGCCACCTTGTCTGCCCAATGGAATCACCTGTGGGTCTTTAAAAACTATGGCTGACCAGGCCTGACCTCCAGAGACTCTTATGTAATTGGGTTGGGGAGGAGCCTGGGCATTGGGATTTTAAAAAGTGCCTAGATGATTCCAATGTGTTCCCGGGTCACTGCGTCAGCCAGAGGACTGGTGATGAAATCCCAGGGCTAGTGAAAGCTCACCTCCCCTTCTCTGAGTGATAAAATTGCCTGCTAGTTTCTCAGGAGTCAGGTAAGTTCTTTTCCCTCCTTCAACCCTTAGCTCCAATTTTCATAAATACACCCATATATACCCAGAGAGCTCTTGATAAGCTCTTGATAAGAGCCTCCTCTAGAAGCTGGGAACAGATAAGCAGATAAGTTGGTGACTTGGTTGCGATCCTGAATTGTTACCACTCCTGCTCTGCCTTGGCAGCAAGCTGGGTGCAAAGGGAGGAGGCCAAGTAAAGCCTGACACTTTCTTGTTCTGACCCAGGAGGGACACATCTGGGGCTCTATGAGGAGGACGGCTTTCATCCTGAGCTCTGGCCTTCTCTTGTTTGTGGCCTTATGGAACTCAGTTACATGGTGAGTCTGCCTGGCCTGGCTTTAACTCAGGACCTGGGGGTAGTGTTGTGGTGGTCTGGGGGCAGAGTGTGGAGTGTGGGGCTGGCTATCTGCCCACCAGTCTTCAACCAGCAACCTCAATGGTTTTTCTTCCAAGGCATCTACAGAGATTTTGGGGTGCTTCCGGCTTCTTCTGGCAAGCCCAGTGGGAAAGGCTACTGTCTACATTTGAAGGGAAAGAATGGATCCTTTTCATTGTAGGTGAGGCTCCCAGATCACTAGTTCTTTTTTTTTTTTTTTTTTTTTAGAATTTGGGTGAAGATTTACAGAGTAAATTCACTTTTCATACAGCAGTTCACATATACATTGTCTCATGTCATTGACCAAAATTTACAATGCAGC